TGGCCCTCATGAAATGTCATGTTTGAGTCTTAAATCTTTATCAGAACTTCCAGCTGTTTATTTGGTTCGACTCATAGGTCCCTTATTTACTCCATAAACCATAATGTAAGAGCGTGGAAGATTGCAGCAGATGAGACCTGGTGTCAATGTTGTTATAGGGATAAAATAAAAAAATTTGTCATGTTATCAACACCTTCTCAATTGACAAGACGGGAAAATGATGATGCTTCTCTTACTAGGTAGTTCTTATTGTACCTGTTTTCCCATTGCTTAGGCAGAAAGGATACAAGCATGTGAATGATGAATTAAAGCCTAAACAACTTGCCATTGTTTGTGTAGTGTAATGTGTGTTTGCAATATGTGATACCTCTGGTTAATCATTGCTAAAGTAAAAGCTGCATTGTTTTTTTTTTTTCGCTCAATAACGACCAGTACAGTTGAATATAAGGTTATGTCTTACATTAATTTCAACAGTTAAATGTATAGAGCTGGAGAGAGAAAAAGAAAAAAATGGAAAACCAGAGACCATATATAAAGGAGAGTTTTTTTCTTTCTGTTATTGCTGTATTAGATTCTGTCAAAATTTTGTAGTGTAATTTGTACAATGTTTATATACACGATTTTCTAAATTAGTGGTATATTGCTGTTCTCTAGTGGTTGTGAGTGTTGAGAAGTGAAACTCTAGTTTTGACAAAAAGCCTGAAGACATTGTCAAGGACTTCTGCTATTTCTTGAATGTTGGAATCCATTTCTTCAAGAGTTTTCACTACTTGGACGACATCGCCATCCTTGCAAGACTTTAACTCAGCTTGTACCTTCTGAATCAAGGAAAGATCTCGAGAGGATGATTTGTTTTGTTGTAGTAACTTTGAGAACAAAGTGCTCCCAGCCTTTGATGGAGAAATCAATGACAGAGTTGACTCCAACACGTTAGCGCTGACTTCTTGGACTTGTTGCATCAGATTGACAATCTCTGATGAGGATTCTTTTTTAGCCGCTGCCAAGTTCTTGATATCTGAGTAACACTTGGTGATCATTTTGCTCAGTTGCTTTTTAGACATTTGATATGTTTGGATTGTATGGTCCATCTCACCACATCCTTTCCTTCGTAAAGATGACTCGAGTTGATGGACAGTTTCCTTCATCTGTGAATAGATGTCCCTCACTGAACCACAAATGTCCAACAACCCGAGTGATCTATCCAGGATTTCTTCTTCCCATTGTCCGTGGGAGAGAGCTTGTTGGCTAAGGGACAGTTGCAGCACATCATTAACATATTCGTATAAGTTCTTTAGGCCATCCAATTTCTTGCAAGCCAAAGTATGTGAAGATGAAGAGGTTGCATCGGCTGATGATCTCAGCCTTAGCAAATGTTCCTCAACATTTGTGATCAAAGGATGAGATTGTGAAGGCAAGCTAATGGATCGAGCATGGATGGAAAGCTTTGGAATGGAAGTTGCCATTTTCTTCTTATTTTTGATAAGGAATGAAATTGTTTGGATCTGAACTTAGAAGCTTATGGAGCTGTTGATGAACCCAACTCTCCTAACCAATGTATATATAGGCAAGTCAACAGAACAGAAAGGAATCTCTTCCTCTCTCTCTCCCCATAAAACTACAGCTAGGGAAGTGTCATCTATGTCCACTTTCTGTTTCTTGTTGTCGGATCCCCAATGCTGTATCTTTGATTTCAAATCTTAATTGTCGCAAACCAGCACTTGGATCACCATCTCCAACGCGAAAAAAATGCTGATCAAGAAGAAAGAAAGAAAAATCATTGAATCAGGTTGTCATGTTAGCAGATGGAGGACAAGAGGAATCCTCACCCATCTGCTGGAATTTTTTAAATGGTAATGCATGCGTGTTGTTGAAAACTGATCAACTCTTAATTCTTTGCAAGATTTGATTTTAAAATTTAATTCTAAGAATTTTGATTAGGACACATGCAAACCAAAGAGCCATTAATGACATGTTTCCCAAGTCATATTTTGTCTGCCTTACAGAAGAACTGATGGTTGTCCTCATTGAGTTCCATAATATGCATTCATAATAAGAATCATGTGCTCCACGCTATTCGGGATGATCACCTGCAAGCTGTGGAGACTAACAGGTTGGATTATTTGTTGTCGCAGGCCGGAAACACAACTATTCGTCCGACCATTTTCATGTTTCCAAAAGAAACATTGCGAGTTGGATAATATTGTTTCTGTTGCACTCAGTTTGGTAATATTAGTATATCACTACTTTACAAAAACAATGAAATTTTGAGCTTCTAATTAACCAGAGGGACAAGAGGAATCTCCACACATTCATGGGAGATTTTTTTATTTGGTGATGCATGCTTGTTGCAGAAGCAGACAGTAATATGATGCTCAGGCAGATGTAGCCTTTCGAGAATCAATTATGAATTTCTCGCAATTTTGGTTTGGCCACATGCAGACCAAACAGTGATAAATGCTAAGGCAATAATTTATGTTTTACAATTAAAATTTTGTCTCCCCAACACAAGAATAGAGATGGCACAACCATGCGTGTGAGCTGTTTTCATTCAAAGAGGAAACATTGGGAGTTAAATAATTTCTTATCTGTTGAATTCATTTGGTGTCCCATATATATGACTACGTTAAACAAAGGAATGATTTCCAGTTCTTACCCCCAGCATCATCATTACTATGTTTCTCGAGCATTCCATCAGCAAAATACAGGGCAAAAATCCATAGAAAAAAATGTCCAATGGGCTATTGGTACACTTAGTTTTGAGCTGGTAAATGCTGTGAAAAGGAGCTAAAAATTGAAGGATTCAAGGATTTGTACATCTAAGTAGCTATTCAAATTGAGCTTTTTGATTCAGGATAACTGCTGAGAACAGCTTTCTGCACCATTCATCCAGGAAGCCTGAGAAGCAAGTGGGAGGAAGTATTCAGGTCTGTGGCCGATTGTTTTGACATCGATATTCAGGGACTGTGTCGGAGATTCTTTTAATCTCCTCATGGAAATTGCGTTTTCTGCTATGGATTTCTTCTTTACCTTTGGTGCCAAAAATGTTCAGACATTTTGCTGGATACTACACTGTGTTGGCTATTGTTCTTAAGATGATTTGTTGAGCTAACATGTGAATCTTCTGCCCTTAGTTGGAATTTTTTTATTTTTTTTTTTTTTTTGCTGTAAATTTAAGCCCTGATGCATTGTAGTTTACGATCTTCGGCAAATTTTATGGACTTAAAATAGTTCCATGGAGATAAGGATCTGATAGCTGCCATCAGTCCAGAAAGGAATATTTGTGAAAAGCTGGGAAAAATAAGAACATTAAAGATTTACATATGACAGGAACAGTTGGATGGTTGTGGCACAAATAGACATTCGTTATACAAGGACAGATGTATCAAAGATTATTGAGTCATTTATTATGAGGAACCAATGGCGCTACTTGGAAAAAAAAAAAAAAAACAATGGCGCTACTGATGATCACAAAATGATGAGTTTTCGCCTTTCATTTCTTGGAATGGTGTTGACGAAAATAGAAACTTATGCCCAATCGAGCATCGAGAAGTTTGCTTCCCGGAACATTTAAATAATCTGCAGAGTTGAGTTCATTTGTCTTTCCGGTGATTAAACTCTTCGCTCGGAGTTTGTTCTTACCAGTAAAACTATTCAATACCTTTTACATTTTCAAACATTGTAAAGAAAATTAAAAATATTCCTCAATGAATTGTATTTTTTATATCAGAAATAATATTACCATTCCACCGTTCCGTTTTGAGCTCGGAACATACCATAAATTTAACAAGTTTTAATCTGTGTGATATGAACAATATCGAGAAGAATAAAAATGAAGAAATGAAAAACTCAAGAAATCTTTCAGATAGACGACAAAATAAAACAAAAAAAAAAATTATAATAAGAATTAAACACAGTATTCGTCGAAGGAAACTTATGGCCATACCCTTTACAGTATGACGATGCACGGATATGCGCCACCGGTTTAACGGTGGAACTTCGGTTAGTGTTTCTTGCAAAACAGAGTCTCGGGGTCTCCCAAGGGTAGACACTTCGATGCTTAAGTCAGTAAACGGGATTGCTAGAAAGTTTAGGGAGGTAGTATGTTTGGCTTATAGATCGCGTACCTGAATTGTGGTATGAACTATCTTATTTATAGGTATGAGATTACCTGGACAATTCCGAATCCAACTAGGTTTTAGGGATTTAAACCGCCCTAAGAGCTCCAGTTGGACTCTTCCTACGGTGGGTGGGCCGGTACAATCTCGGTAATGGATCTAGACTCGTCAAGTGCCCCTGCCAAGTGTTAGTGACGTAGAACAAAACAACGCTTGGCACAAAATAAGCATTACTTGAGACATGCCCGAGAGTGGACAGACCGTCCTCATTCAGCTAATTGTCGAGGCACATGCCTAACAAGCTCGGTGCTAACACACGACCCTCGATCTCGGAAGTGCGAGAGGAACCGGTGGGTCAAGTCGCAACCCGGGAAGACGACCCGCTTCCCAGTCCCGCTCAAATTTTCAATTGCGCGTTATTAGTGGGCACGTTCCCCAAACGGCAGCCTCAACATCATTACTTCCTTGAAACCCGCAATAACTGTCAAATCGTGGTCCATAATTAAGGAAACGTGGGAGAATCAACTTCCCTTTTAAAAGAGAAAACTTCTACTATCCCTGAACACTTAATCACTTTCTTTTTCTGCAAAAGCACAAAATCCTCTCCTTTGCAACAAAAGTATTCCAGCCTCCATTCTGCTCTTCCTTTTCAGAGCATCCTAAGTCTTTTCCCGGCCGGAATCTTCAAGGTTTTACCTGATACACTGCCCCGGCGACGCCGTTTTCCAGGGGAGCTGCAAATTGAAGCTTCTAGACAACGCTGGGGAGTTATAATTCGAAGGGCGAGTGGTCACGTCCCCCTTACATAGTAAGTTTCTAGATCTGAATCTTCGATTTGTTCCTTTTCCTTTTCTGTTGTAGTCAAAGTAGAGCTTTGCCGGAATTATGGTTAGGGATTCTGAAGGGAAAACTGTTCTGGATTTTGTTTCCACCATAGACTCGGTGGATAAGGTAGAAAACCTTAGATCCAAGTATGATTTCCCTTCCGCCTTAGAGGCGAGAGCTCCATTAGGGAACGAGAGGACCAACTCTTCTCCAAGGGGAAGAATTACCGTGTATGATAGATTTATGCACCTAGGGCTTAGATTTTCCCTTTACCCCCTGTTTGAGGAGATTGCTCAACATTATACGCCTCCTCTCGCTCGTTTTACCCCAAATTTAATTACATTTGTACTGGGGTTTGCGAGAGTGTACCAATATGTAAAAGTAGCACCTCGATTGATATTGTGGAGATACTTTTTTCAAGTGGTCGTGGCCTCGACTTCTTTCCAGGATTGGTATATAGTAAAAAGACGCCTTAGAGCCGGCGTGAAGAAGATGGTCGAGGCGTATGGCGGCTCTCCGGAATGGAAACCGGACTTTGTGTTTGTAAGGGCTCCTGCAAGTTATTGTCTGCCATGGAATCTTCATGAGACAGAGGCCTCGGGGCCATAAAAGATGAATGGACCCAAGAGGATTAAGAGTGTGTCGAGGAGTTCCAGGCAGATGTCGAGAAGTTTCTGAAATACTCGAAGGTCGTTAAGTGGAACGACGTCCAATACTGCGTGCCCCCTGCGTATGCGAAGGGAGGTGATACAGTCGTCGTTGAGGGAGCAACCAGAATTCCCCTCGAAATCTCTGATGAATAAGATCAAGGTACTAATCATTTTCTTCTTTATTTTCTTTGTTGTTAGGTAATGTCGTCGAGCAATGCTGGGTCTCGACTATTTGGTGACGAAGATCCTTTTGTCATTGTGAATTCAGATGAGCATGTTACTGTTACTGCCGCCCCTTAGAAGAAGAAGAAGAAAAGGATTGTGAAGGTGGGTGATAGGGCAAAATCCAAGAATACCAAGGCGGATGTGCCCCTGAAGGAAACCGCTCAGCCAAGCGTCGAGACAGTGCCCGTTGCCACTGAGTCCGTGCAGAAAACCATGCCGGAGACGGGGCCAAGCATGGTCCCTCCTGTGGTAGAGAAAGGAAAGGGCCCTCTCGAGGGAGAAGCCATAGTTTTGCCTCCCCAACTGTTCGAGAGAGGCCCGTCTGTGGCAGTTCACACCTTCAGCAACCCACCTTCAATCGAGTATCCTATTCTCGAGGAATTCGCTGCCCAATTGAATGAAGCTGACAGCTTGCGGCTGGTAAGCGATTTTTTCAAATTATGTCGTAAATGCACTGCGGATGTCTATGTGTCTCTAATATGTTGTGTTGGTTCAGATGAGTGCAGCTGAGGAAACTTCGAGAGGACCTGGCTGTAGCAAGGGCAGAAAGGGACGAGGCGTTGTTCGAGGTGGTTACCCTCGAGGAGAAGGTTTGCCAAGTTCAGGCCAAGGAAGCAGAGATTGTCGAGATGCAGGCTAAATATAATGAGCTCGACGAGAAGATGAAGTCGTTTGCCAGTCTGCATATTTCCAAGGAGGAGCTTTACCAGTGGTGTACCGCCTTTATGTATAAGATGATGTCCAGAGGCGGAATGGCGGCAGCCCTCGAGGAGATGAACTTGGTTGCCACCAAGTGTGGTGTGCACCGAGTGGGCGTGGCAGCGTTGAGGAGGCTCGACCAGGATAGGCCAATTAAGGTCAAATGGTTCAAGAAACTCTTGATAAAGGACCCAAAGAAAACCATGCATGAGGCCATGGTGAACGTCTTGACAAGGTTGAGCCTCGAGCAGCTCCCTCTGTGGGGAGCTTTGACCGGTGCCATGTCCAAGATGAGTTCCCCTGCGGAGATTGCCTCGTTTCCGGGCGACGTCCCTGCTGTCCTGGCCAAGGGTCCGAGTGAGGAAGACCCCATCTCCGAGGTTTCCGACGAGTATATGGGCATCGAGCTCGAGGATGCTGATGAGGAAACCGAGGAGGATGTTGCTGATACTGGTCACTCCAGAGTTCAGAGAACCGTTGAGGATGCCTCTCAGGCCCCTTCCAAGAACCCTTCCAATGATCCTTCCAATGATCCTCTCCCAGGCAGTGATGTTGTATGAATCCTGCCTTCTATAATAGTTATTAGGCCATTCAAACTTTTTCCTTCTGCTGTAATGAATTAATTTTTCTTTTCTTTCACAGATTTATGCAAACATCTCTTTCCATTCCACTTTTTTGTCCTCTGTGTTCTTTCTATTTGTTTTGATGTGAGTGCCTTATGCTTCTCTGGTGAAACAGGAAAGTTGGACCGTTCACCGCGTGCACCACATGGTGTTGTCAGAGGAGCAGACGAGGGAGTTCCCGTTATATTCCATGATAAGCGGGATTCTGAGAAGTCGTGCTGACGTGCACAGCCTCGAGATGGTGGCGCATTTGGAGAATGACCTACTCGATGCCATGAGGACGCACAACGTGAAGGTTAACCAGCATCTGATAGATGAGATCAAAGGACTCCGCGAGGAGATGCAGCGTCGAGAGGTTCAAAGCCTGAGAGACCACAGTGATTCTTTGACTTTCGAGGCCGAGATCCATGACGAGCTGGTGACCATGGAGAAGGAAAATGCTCGGCTTAGGGCAAGACAGCAAATTACTGTGTCTCCCTGGTTTCTCGAGAAGCATCAGGTGTTAGCCTGAGTCCAGCACATGATTATGGTTAGGACTCGCCGTTTCATCGCAGCCATGGATATATTGAAAGAGAGGTCTCGTGAAATCGAGCTTCTTACAGATTATATTGCTCAACTGCAAAATCTTCTGCTGGATAATAACATCGACTTCGAGGCTTTCGATTGTCCGGAGGAGACAGTGGATCCTCGAACTCGGAGTTCTCGAGAGGAACTGTTGATGAGGGTGCACGCTCAGGATACAGAGATCGTGGACCTTAAGGACAAATTGAATCAGTGTTGAATCTCCTTAGCCTGCACGGGTTTAAGGGGATTATTCATCCCTCCACCGACAATCCTGTCAGGGAGGTGCTTGTAATAGTGTAGAAAGTATGTAATTTTCTGTGAGTTCGCACAGCAATGTGGAACGAATGTTTATTTTACTCGAGTATTGACTTTTAAAGCGCTTTTTAGGCTGGATGTAGAGTACACGGCTCTATCATAGGAATTGGGTACGAATTCCTTTACTTGACACTGCATTTTGCAATGTGCGTGAGGAAAGTTCCTCAAGTTCGTGTCCGAATGTTAAGTACACGGCTCTTGAACGAGGATGGCCCTAAAGAGGGAGTCCATCTCGATGACTAGTCATGAATGCATTGCTATAAACGGGGAGAATATGTAATGTCTTTTATTGAATAATTTCCTGAGGACCCGGGTTAGCATTACATATGAGAGTATAAAACTGACTGGGTAAATAAGTAAGTAAAACATATAAAGGGCAAATAGCGGACAAAGGCTTAAACATAGAACCTGCGAAGATTCTGAATGTTCCACCATCGAGGAAGGATGGTTCCGCTATCATCCATGGCTTGTAGGTGGTAGCAGCCTGCTGGGGAAGTCTGGATAACCTTGTAAGGCCCTTCCCAATTTGCAATAAATTTTCCAGGGGCCTCTGCTCGGTTAGCCTCGTTTCTTCTTAGCACGAGGTCACCCACAGCGAGATCCGTGGCTTTCACCTTCTTGTTGTAATATCTACGAAGAGTCTCTTTATATTTGGCCTCTCGGATTCTAACAGCGTCTCAACGTTCCTCGAGCAGGTCAAGGTTTAGCCGGATGTCATCATCATTGGTACTCTCGACGAAGTTTGCAGTTCAAGGACTCGACAGGCCGATCTCGACTGGGAGGACGGCGTCCATACCATAGACTAAGCTGTATGGTGTCTCGTCGGTCGAGGAGTGGGCCGTTGTCCGGTATGACCACAGGACGTGAGGAAGTTCGTCGGCCCATGCCCCCTTGGCGTCATACAACCTGGTCTTGATTCCATGCAGTATTGTTCTGTTGATGGATTCAGCCTGCCCGTTGGCTTGGGAATGGGCTACGCTCGAGAAGCGGCGTTCGATCTGCATTTCATTGTACCATGACCTGAAAGTATTGCTCTCGAACTGGGTCCCATTATCGGAGACGATAACCTTCGGTACCCCAAAGCGGCATACTATGTTCTGCCAGAAAAAATCCAAGATTTTTCTCCCAGTGATCGAGGCCAAGGGTTTGGCTTCTACCCATTTAGTGAAGTAATCTACTTCTATAATGACCCATCTTACTCCTCCTACTCCTTCCGGATGAAAGGGACCGATGATATCAGTGCCCCATTGGTAGAATGGCCACGGGCTTTGGATGGTGACCATCTCGTGCTGTGGCTGTCGGGTGATGGGAGAGAAGCGCTGACACTTCTCACATTTTTGTACCCATTGGTAGGCGTCTTTGAAGATTGTTGGCCAGAAATATCCTGCTCGCAAGACCTTCTTGGCGAGTGCTCTTGCTCCCATATGAGCTCCACATGATCCTTCTTCGAGTACGTAAGCTGCTTGCTTTGGGCCAATACACCTTAGCATGGGTAGCAGGTATCCATGCTCGCAATGTGTATTTGACCGCCTTTAACCGGAGGATCCTGGCTTCTGCTTTTCCACTCGGCAACGTCCCATCTGTAAGGTATTGGATAAAAGGGATCATCCAAGTGTCACTGTCCTCGACGATGGTCGCTACGGGGACGTCCTGGATACTGGGATTGGGAAGAATTTTGACCCATACTTTGTGGCTAAGGTATGCAAAGTTCGAGGAGGCCAGCTTGCTGAGGGCGTCGGCTCTTTTGTTTTTTGAGCGGACTATGTGGCACACGGTTTGTCCTTGATGTCGAGGACTTTCTCGAGGTAGCGCTTGAGTTGCTCGTCGTTTGTCGTGTATTCTCCTAATATTTGTTTTACCATTACTTGAGAATCACTGAAAACTTGTATTTTGCGGACCCCAAATTTTAGTGCCATGTTCAACCCTACTATCAGTGCCTCATATTCTGCTACATTATTGGTGACTAAGAAACCGAACCTCAACGCATATGTATATTCTGCGTCGTACTCTTTCATGTTCTCGATGTCGGGATCGGCCGGAGGTTTGGATAATATGATGCCGGCTCCTCCCCCTTCATGGCAATGAGATCCGTCGATGTGTAGTGACCAGGCTCGAGGGTTGATGTGGACGCGAGTAGTGGGATCATCTTTAGGCTCCGCCATTTCTTTGACTTCAATAGCTCGAGGCGTTTTTACTAAGAAATCTGCAAAGGCTTGCTCTTTGATGGCTGATCGAGGCTTGTATTCGATATGGTGCTCACCCAATTCGACTGCCCATTTCATCATCCTGCCGGAAGCCTCTGGCTTTAGCAGGACTTGCTGAATTGGTTGTTCTGTTAAAACCATGATAGGGTGTGCTTGGAAGTATGGGCGCAGACGTCGTGCGGCTAAGACTAGGCTGAGGATAAGCCTTTCCATGGGTGTGTAACGGATTTCTGCCCCTTGCAAGACTTTGCTAACAAAATAGACGGGGACTTCTCTGCCGTCTTTGCGCTGCACGAGGACCGCCGAGACAGCTTTCTCTCGGGCTGCCAGGTAAATGTATAGTGTTTCTCCTGGCTCGGGCTTGGCTAGTGTGGGCAACTGCTTGAGGTGCTCTTTTAGGTCTTGGAAGGCTTTTTGGCATTCTTCATTCCACTCGAATTTTCTGCCTTTGCGGAGGGTATGGAAAAATGGGAGGCTTCTTTCTGCAGCTCGAGATAGAAATCTGTTTAGGGCCGCCAAGGAGCCTGTGAGTTTCTGAACTTCCTTGACGGTTTTTGGAGCTTCCCTAGCTAAGATAGCCTCGATTTTAGCCGCATCAACACTTATTCCAGCCTTGGAGACTTGGTATCCTAGGAATTTCCCTGATCCTACACAGAAGGTGCATTTTTTAGGGTTCAGCTTCATGTTAACCTTGCGTAATATTGTGAAAATCTCCCGCATGTCTGCGGCCACTTGCTCATCCTTATTGGTCTTTATCACCATGTTGTCTACGTAAATCTTGATGTTCCGGCCGATCTGGTCATGAAAGGTTCTGTTCACGAGACGCTGGTATGTCGCTCCAGCATTTTTCAGTCCAAAGGGCATCTTGTCGTAGCAATATACCCCTATCTCGGTGATGTAAGCTGTCTTTCTGCATCTTCCTGTACCATGAGGATTTGATGATATCCCTTGTAGGCGTCAAGGAAACTGAGGACTCTGTACTCGGCAATACCCTCCACCATTTGATCTATGACTGGTAGAGGGTAACAGTCCTTGGGGCAATGTTTATTGAGGTCTGTGTAGTCTTGGCACATACGCCAGGAGTTGTCGGGTTTTCGTACTAGGACCGGATTGGCTAACCAAGTAGGCCATAAAACTTCCCGGAGTATGTTGGCTAGGACTAGCTTCATCGTTTCCTCGTTGATGACATCGTTACGTTCTCGAGCAAATACTCTTCTCTTCTGTTGTACTGGTTTGACATTTGGATCAACATTTAACCTATGTTCTATGACTTCTCGAGGGACTCCTGTCATGTCCGCTAGGGACCAGGCGAATATGTCCTGGAACTCTCATAGCAAGGCGCTGATCTCAGCTAGCAAGGAGTCTTGGAGAGAAACCCCAATTTGGACGGTCTTAGCGGGATCAGACTTATTCAGGACTAATTCTCGTGTCTTGCTACTGAACGAGGGAAGGCCGAGTGTCTCGGGGTCTTCTACCCCTGGTGGGTTGACCATTTGTCGAATCGAGTAGCACTCTGACACGGCAGACCCTGGGTTAAGGTATGCAGTCTTCTTTCCGATTCTAACTGCGGTGAGCAAGCATTCTCGAGAACTCCGCTGGTATCCTTTCACTACTCCTACTCCATATTCCGTTGGGAATTTCATTACCAAGTGATAGGGAGACCATACCGCGCGTGTTTGGCACATCCAAAGTCGCCCTAGGATCACATTGAACGGCGAGGGTGCATCTATTAGGGCGAAATCCATGGTCAAAGTGACTGTCCTAGGATGCGACCCTACCGAGATGGGTAGGCTAATATTCCTGTGGGGATAATGGTGTGTCCTGAGAATCCCATTAGTGGCATTATAGCTGGGCGGATGCAAGGGTTTTTGATATTCATTTTCTTGAAGCAATCACTATATATGATATTGACCGCGCTGCCGTTGTCCACGTAAACCCTCCTGACTTTTACGTTTGCGATTATTGCTTCTATGACCATAGCGTCACTTTGGGGACAAATGTCTGGGACCACATCGCTATCTGTGAATACAATGGCCTTCTTTCCTTTAAATCTCTTGTGGCTAGGTTCTTGTCGAGGGGTTTTGGTGACAGTTCGCAATGAGTTTTTCATGGCTGTCGTGGATAAGACTTCGAGGGGAGCTCCGTAAATAGCTCCTACCTGGTGAGTGATTAGCTTTGTTGGATCCATCGGGGGGAGTTGTTGCAATGGCTGTGGCGTTGCTTCAACGATGGGATAATGCTGCTGTTGTTGGGCATTGACTCTCGGTTGCCAATTATTTCCTCGTCCATCCTGCTGTGGCGGGCCTCTGAAATTTCTTTTTGGGTGATCTCGTGACTGGGGTCTATTATTCTTATGCCGGGAAGCTGTTCCCTGCACATATTGCTGAAACTTTCCAGATTTGACCCCGTTCTCAATTTCACGCTTGAG